CCCCCCCCCCCCCCCCCCCCCCCATACCTCCTACCGCTGTGTCAGTGTATTTCATCATCAGAGGACTCACTCGATTAGCTTCAGGTGAGCTGACATTAGTCTCGGTGCAGGAGGTCAAATCGATACGTGGCTATTAAAATGAGTTGATTTCCTGTCAGCAGTTTGGTCGTTCCACTGACACCTGCCAATAACACCGAACCACAAGATGTTTATACATCCAGTATCAGTTCAGAGATCTTATACAGACCAGAATATGTCTTTAGACGTGAGTTGATCTGCTCCAGACTGCAGTGTAGACGTTGTTTACCTCTACTGACTCCATAAAACTCAACCTGGTTGTGTATTCACTGAGGACTCGATGGAAGTATAAGCACTGATTTGGTGAAATAAAAGCGAGTTGATGGCAGGGACTAACAACTGGGAAATTGCACTTACTGAAGCCCAAAGCTCAATTAAACTAAAACATGATTCATTTTACACAGGGGTCTGGTTTAAATGAGGTCATGTTTCAAAGAGAAAAATCTAGCAATTAGACACACCCTGTAATGAAATGAAGTAAAATAAAAATGAAAATGACACCAAATAAAAACCCCTCGTGTAAACAAGTATGAGGCATCACTGCACTATGTACAAGAATGACTCCAACAAAAAAGATGCATCTGATGTCTGTTAGTGGAGGAAAGTTCCGTTGATGCGTTCTCCTGTTTTTAAGAAATGTATTTTATGAATCAGTCACAGATAAATGAATGCAAATGAAAAGTACAAATGTGAGCCTCAAGAGAATCAGGAGTGACATTTAAACCGGGCCCAGTACTTATTTCGGTCCTGATTGGATATTGATGCGGGGCTGATGGTCAGAGAGGCTCTCTGTGCGCACTATAGCCGGCGAGGAAACTCCTAACGGCCCCCGAAAGAGGGCAGAAAATGACCGTCGGGCTCGCGTGGATGGCTCTTACCTGTAATTGTCCCACTCCCTTCCCGCGCCTTAACGCCCTCTCAAACCATCGGTGGGGCTGCTGCTACAATCCAGTGGTGTGTCTCTGATGTGGAGACATTTGCGTCCTAGACAGGAGCAAAACAAACACAAAAAAAACGGGAGTGGTGCCTCTTTTTTTCCTTCTTCTTCCCGGATGAAATCAAACAGCTTTGTCAGAATCACACACGAGTCTTCTTACTCGGCAGCGTTGGCATCTCATCCGCCACACAGCTGAGATTCTCCTGCATCCAAACCTCTGCTTATTCCGTTATAGTCCACAAACAACACTCTGATAATACGCTTTAATTGCGTCCCGCTGGTGCGCCTTTGGTGGCTGACAGTCACCCAGACGATCGCAGCGCACTGTAACTATGAATGTAATAATTTGTCAAAGTGGGATCGATCCTGATCGATCACTTCAGCCCGCAGTCTTTGCTCCGCCGCGTCCTTCCCCAGTCTGACAGCTTCAGCTCTGCGCGCACTAACTTTTATGGAGACTCCGGAGCGCACGGCGCACAGCGCTACGCCGCTACCTCCGCCGCTAACACGTTACAGTATCCCGATTACCGTCAAAGCACGTGTGTCATATGCAGATGTGACTTGTTCACTTGAACATCACCGGTCCGGAAAGAAGGGCGCGTTGCTTCTGTTATCGCCTCCAAATTGAAGCTCGATGTGATAATCAATAACGCTGTCATTAGATATGGAAAAGCACCAATATCACGATATTGTGAAATCAACGATCTGCGCGATCATCATACGTCAAGGCTCATTTGGACATTTGTAGAATAATGATGCACTAAACAGAATTATTCAGATTTTGTCACAAGCCTAAAGACAATCACTCATTTAGGAAGTGTAACGCAAAAATAATGTAGCAAAGTCCAGCTGCCACGGCGCAATTAGTGGATTGCTGCATTGAAATGGCAATTAAGTAATAAATGGCATTTGATTAATAATTGAGCAGTGATAATTTCCCACTGAGAAATGCAAGACGTTCACAAAAGACCAATATCCGATCATTTCTTCCATCCCCCAAAAGTTGCATCAATATGATGGAGTGCAGCAGTATTTAATCCTGTAAATGACCCTTTAGGCATGTTTAATTAACTGCAGTCAGAAGCCTCTGCTGCTCCGCTCTCACCAAGGAAAAATAAATTAAAAAGGTGCAGTACTGCCATCATGTGGACATTTGACGTTATTTCACCAAACCTCACTGACATCCTTCCTGCAGAGAAACCGGAAGCCGCTAGAGGAAAAAAAAGGTGATTCATGTTCAGGCGAATATCTGAAGTATAACTAAGAGAATACAGTTTGATCAAAAAATGTTTATTCCATGGTGAAAACATTCCAGCCACACACGCGCACACACACCCAATTTTCTTTTTACAAACAGCGAACCTCCACAGTATAATGCATGTGAGGAGACAAAACAAAAAATCATCAAAGTGACATAAAGCACAACGTGATTGGCTTTTGCAGTTCATTCAGAAATAAGAGGGAACACTTAGAAAGTCTTTTCAGCTCTGTCCATCGGGAGAGAAGCACAACAACTGATGCTGTTTTTTTTATTTTCTTTGTACTTTAGGAAAATATCATCCTAAGGCAATCTTGAGAGAGATTCCGCGTCCGTCTGCGAAACGTCCACGCGCTCCAGATTGAACGGCGATTGTTCAGGCTGCTTCTGAAAGGCATCGGCGGCTGTAGTAGTAGTGAGTAGTTCATGGACTCCTTTTCCCAGAGTTCCTCAGCATTCCTCTTTGATGTAGATTTGTTCGTCTGTGTCGGACTCCAGGTGCTCCAGCCGGTCCGTCTGTCCGTTCATTATCTCGTCGGGGGTTTTCATGAACCTGGTGGACGTGACACATTTATTTAAACTTCTGTTGTAGAATAGATCCGAATACGTCATGACTAGTGTGACCAGCTTCGTTTAGAAAAGGTATCTTTGAGTTGCTGTACCTGAATAGAAGTCTTTGTCCAGGCTCTTTCCTGATAATGTTCAGTTTGTAGTAGTGTCTCAGTGCTCGCGACATCTTCTCGTACGTCATGTTGGTCCTGTTCTGTAAGAGGCGAAAGAACAAAAGTGTCGTTAGTAAATGAGACGTTTTCTACATCTTTGGATGACCTGATCCATTTAGAGCTGCACTAACTAATGCTTTGAACTAGAGATGCCCCATCAGGGGTTTTCTATATTGATTGTGATCACTGATGAGCCGATACAGATTGTTTGTTGTTGTGTTTTGTAATAGCAGCTGGTATACAAGGCTCCAGACATCTGTGCTGCCCACCGGCTGCTAGCAGCGTGTCACACACATGAGCACAGGCTGTGGTGTCTCTCAGCCACACACCGCGTTCAAGCACTTGTGTAGTTCTATTTTGTCCGATCAGAGGCCCGTCGATCGAGGCTACTTTAAACTCTCCTAGAGAGAACAACTGGGAATGTGCAGTCTGATCATAGACGACAACAGCTGCACGCCTGGAGCTCGCTGAGAGTGTGTGTGTGTGTGTGTGTGTGTGTGTGTGTGTGTGTGTGTGTGTGTGTGTGTGTGTGTGTGTGTTTACCTTGTGATTTCCCCAGAGCCTGGCCAGGCCGTTGGGGTCCATGATGCGGAAGACTTTGCACTCTGTATCCTCCCAGCGGATGTAGTTCTCGTACCTGCTGTCTGACAGGAGCTGGTAGACGTAGTCCCACAGCAGCCTGCAGTCTGCATGGACGCGACAGGGAAACACACGGTGCTTTGTTTTGTGATGCTCAGACAATTCCAAAAGGGACAAGATAAGTAAGATAAGTCCTGTCTCTGTGAGTGTCTGCTCACATTGTGACCTAAGCAACAGATGTCTCGTAGCTTCAACCTGTAACCGTGAGAGGGCTAAGTGTTACCTGCTATCCGTCCGATGGGTATTTGTGGCTCTTCTGGAGGAGACACGGGCATGATGACGTGGTTCCTGTAGAGCGCCTCCTCCTGCTGCTGCTGCAGTAGATGCTGCTGCTGGGACAGGGCTATCTGATGGTGGTGGCCGTGGAGTTTCCCCTCGCGCCCGTTCTCCAGCGTCGCCTGAGACGGGGGCCCACCGCGGCTGTGCCTGAAGTCCATGGCGGCACCCCCGCCGCTCCTGCTCGGGCTGAGGAGCAGGGGGTTCATGATGGCGCTGGGCATGAGCTGGATGACGCGAGGAGGGCCCGCCTCCTGGCCCCCGGGGCTGCCCGGGCAGGGGGCCTCTCGGGGCGTCGCGCAGCGGCCGTTGGGTGCGGCCGGGGACACCGACAGAGGGTACATTTCCTCGGACAGGTGGTGGTTGCTGTCGGGCAGCTGGGAGAAGGTCTGGAGGTGGTCCTCGTTGGCGGCGCGGGGGTGGTTTGGCTCCGGAGGGGAGCGCCTGGCGGTCTGGTGGTGGGGGGAGCGGGAGCGGTGCCGCAGCTCGATGGTGGGTGGATGCTGGGGGAGCGGCTCTGAACCACGTGGGGCCCGCCGTACCGTTTCTGTGGTTCCAAAAGATACAACATGGGATCAATACCTACAGCTAATTTACACCATTTTATATTCAAATAGAGCCAACACAATTTTGTATAATAGGAAATTCACAACATTTGATGTTCCATAGGATGTTCACATTAGTTTGTCCGAATGAGTCATCTGAAGTTGTAAGAAGCCTGTCTCTACTCATGTCTGTTCACAGCAGCAGAGAAGCAGAACCAGAGCATGACATGAAGTGGTGGATTGTAGCTTTTCATAGTTTTCACAGCCTTTTAGAGATTTGACAACTTGTGCAGTCATGCGTCCCCACTGCAGAGGTGCTTATTACCACTAGGTGTCACTAATGTCCTGCGGTCAGGCTGAGAAAGAGGATTATATTCTTTTTGAGGAGTTTCAGTAGAAGTTCTCTGGAGGTGGTGGGAATTTTGCCTTGATTCCTTCAGGCACAAGCAACATGGAAAACCCCCCAAAAAATGTACAAAGTGGTTCCAAACAAGGAAGACGGTCGTGACAAATAGCAGCAAAGTTGCATCCAGCCACTGGTGATCGGCAGTTTGTTTAAACAAAGCAGCGTTTCCTTGTGGAGCAGGTTTTACTGCCGACATGTGAAGTCACTAATCCAACCCATCTGATTGTATTTGGGTCATAACCACAAAAGGATCATTGCTTCCTTGATTACAACAAACACGGCTGCAAACTCTTTTAATTTTCAAAAAAATAAAGTGAAGTGGTGTAATTATCATGAAGACTCAGCTACAACTTTACATTTGGTACATGTAATTACAGTCTTAAACAAGTAGCTAATAATAACACAACTTTATATGTTTTTTACGTTAGAAAAAGTGATATCCCGATCACAAGATCTGCTATTGTAATGAAGTCAGTGTAAATATGTATTGATTGTCGATGACAGTTGGACAATTGTACGCATGTATAATGTTATAAGTATATAAATAGCTGTAGGATGATTGATTATGGGCTATCTGAATCAGAAGTATGTTTGCACATACTGATTGGTGCATGACAATAAACACAGCGCGATAGTGTAAGTAATAAAACAAAATATGTGATTTTATATTTCCCATTCTTTATTAACATGGCTGCTAGATGTAGCTGAAATAGTCTCACAGATGCTGGAGGAAAAACTGAGAATGTAGCATTTATTCATAGCAACAAGCCACTGATGGAGGAACGTAGGTTCCAATAACCCAAAACCAAGCGCGGGTCTGGAGGCGATGCCGTTTATGGGACTGACCTTCAAGCTTCAGGTGCTGCGCAGCGCTTTCAGGCAGCGAGTGGAAGGAGTTCCCGGGGAAGTAGGCCGACGGGTAAAAGACGTGGGGCTTCCTCTGCTTCAGGATGTGCTGCAGCAGCTCGTACAGGACGTCCCCTGCAGAGATGCAAGAGATCAGAGGTTAGCACAGGTAGGCTGCGTAAAACAGGAAGTTAGCGCTGGCGTCATTGCGCAGAATTTGGTTCCCCTTCTTCTTCTCTCTGCTTTCCAGGCAGCGGGGAGCTTGAGCAATAATGGAAGAGTCTCTGAGGGCGCAGACGAGTGACGTTTCAGGACGAGGCGTTAAGGCAACTCAAGACTTATTCGAAAAAACATCCGAGTCTGTTGACTCAGTGAGTGCACAGCTTTAAGAATAAGTGTTTCTACATCAGGCGATGCTAGTTGGTGGCCAACGTGAACTAGATGTTGACACAAGCTCCATATGACCCTGGCATTCTCCTCTAAGTGCTCGTACAGTAGTGGTGACACCAGGCACAAAGCCCCGAGCAGGAAGCTCACTGAATCATTAACAGCTGTTTGTTTTGCCTCAACACCGATGGCGGCAGCTCCTCTCCCGCCACCGGAACGGAACACTTCCACGGTTAAAGAATAACTCGGATTTGAACAAAGGCTGCCATCACACATAGCCTGAGGGATTTTTTTTTTAAGGCTTACCATAACAAGGAAATGATTCTCT